GTGATAATGTTATTATAAGGTTGACCTAATTGGTTTTGTAATTATATTATACTACTATGGCTGAAGATAAATTACAAGCTATCACCACTAAGTTAGATGGTATCAATTACTCTTATTGGTCTCATGTAATGAAAAATTTTATAATGGGTAAAGGCATGTGGAATTATGTGATTGGTGTGACTATTAGACCTACGGAATCTCAAGAAACTGAAGCCGAGGTTGCTAAATGGGATAATGAAAATGCACAAATTCTTATTTGGTTTCATAATTCAGTTAAAACTACCATTGGTATGAATTTTTCCAAGTATTCTACTTCTAAACAAGTTTAAGACTATTTGAAAACTATGTACCTTGAGTCTAACTTTGCAAAACAGTATGAACTTGAAATGTCTATTCGCAGTGCTAATTAGAAAGATAAGTCCATTCAGGAGTTCTACAATGAGATAACTACTTATTGGGATCAGCTTACTTTGATGGAACCATCAGATTTACAATTACTTGACAGTTATACCAAGTATCAGGAGAAGCAACATCTTGTTTAATTTTTTATGGCCCTTCGTGATCAATTTGAGCCACTTTGGGGAGCTATTCTTCATCAGTCTCCCTCACCTTCTGTGGATGGTGCTGTTCGTGAGCTTATTGCGGAAGAAACTCGATTTAAGGTGGCTCATGGTGCTCCTGCTTCCCAGTCAGTTTTTGCCACTCCTCCGCTCTTGCCCACCCCACCTTTTCCTTTATTTCAGGTTACTGGTAAGCCCAAGCCTCCGGTTTCCATGGATGTGTGCAACTTCTGTCATCAGAAAGGCCATTGGAAACATGTTTGTCCTAAACTTTTACAGTCTAAAGGTCGTTCATTTGGTCCACCATCCTCTAAGCCGACATCTTCGGGATCTCACTCATCTGCTGCCTTTTCTACACCGGTTTCTGGGAATGGTCCGTCTTCCAATATGCAGTCTATTTTGAGCAGTTCAATTCTTTCATGGTGGCCAATCCAAATCTTTCATCCCAGGCCTCCGCTATGACTACAACTCAGTTAGGTTTGTCTGGTTCATCCTATTCAAGTAATATCCACACTTCGTAAATTTTTTATTCTAGTTGTTCACATCATATGACCCCTATTGCGTCTCTCCTCAATAATTGTGTCTCTCCTTCTATCACTATTGCTACAGCTAATGGTTATTTTATACCTGTACACTATTGGTTCTATTTCCTCTTCCCATTTGTTTATTTCTCCTGTATTTTACGTGCCTCACCTCTCACTCAGTCTTATTTCTATTAGTCAATTATTTGATTTCGATTTTGATGTTATTTTCTCTTCTTCTCATTGTGTTGTGCAGGATCGGATATCCAAGAGGCAGATTGGGATCGGGCATAGAGTTGAAGAACTATATATCTTGGACAGCTTGCATGTTCCTCCAGAAGTGTCTTCTACTGTATTATCTTCTTTTTGTTTAAACAATAAGTCTTCTTTATTTTATATTTGGCACTCTAGGTTAGGTCATCTGTCGAGTGATCGTTTGAGGATGTTAGTTCGGTCTGGACATTTAGGCAATTTTTCCATTGATGATATTTCTGAGTGTTGTGGTTGTAAACTAGCTAAAATGTCTACTCGTCCTTTTAATAAAAGTGGTTCTATTTCATCTTCTCCTTTTCAATTGGTTTATACTGATGTTTAAGGTCCTTCCCCTATAGTTACCAAGGGTGGTTCGCAATATTATGTGTCCTTTATGGATGATTACAGTCGGTTTACCTGGGTTTATTTGATGACTCGAAAATTTGATTTTTACAAAATATATTCTAATTTTCACTCCATGATTCGCACTCAGTTTTCCACCACCATTAAAGTTCTTCGTTCTGATTCAGGGGGTGAGTATTACTTGTCTGAGTTTGAGGAGTGTTTAGCTACTCATGGCACTATTCATCAATCTTCGTGTTCTGACACTCCTGCCCAAAATGGTCGAGCTGAGCGCAAACATCGCGTTCTCCTTAATATAGCTCGCTCTTTGTTGCTCTCGTCTTTTGTCCCGTCTATTTTCTGGGGAGAAGCTGTGCTCACTGCTGCATATCTTCTCAATCGAATGCCTACTCCTCTCAGGCTCATCTCTGTATGAGCATCTTTTTGGTGTTTGTCCCAATTATTTTCTTCTTCGTATTTTCGGTTCTGCATGTTTTGTGCTCCTTTCTAAATGAGCGCGCTCTAAACTTAGTTCTCGTTGTGTCCTATGTGTCTTTGTAGGGTATGGCATTAATCAGAAAAGTTATCAGTGCTATGATCCTGCCACCAAAAAGCTATATGTGTCTAGACATGTCACCTTTTTAGAAAAACTACCCTATTACACTATACCTTCCACCCCTATCCCTATTACAAGGATGAATTGGCTCACATTGACCTATTTCCTCATGATGTTTCTCCCGATGAGTTTGTTTCTGATCTTGAGGTCTCTACTTTGCCTCTTACTAGCACTTCTGATATCTCGCCAGCTATTTCCTCTCCAGCTCCCGTTCCCCCTGCTCCTCTTCTTGTTTATCAACGCCACAAAGCACTTCCAAGCTCGCCTGTCTCTAGCTCTACTGTACCTCCAGCTGTTTCTTTGGATCCTACTCCTCCTGCACATTGCTTTCCACAGCGAGACCGTCATCCTCCAAACTGGTATGGTTTTGGTAATACATATTTTTCCCTTTCCTATCAGTCTTTTCTTTCTTGCCTTCATACTTGTTTTGAGCCCAGGTCCTACAAGGAAGCTTGTCATGATCCCAATTGGATTGCTGCCATGAATAACGAGTTAACTGCTTCGGCTAACACTCAGACTTGGGATTTGGTTCCATTACCTGCTGGCAAGAATGTTGTAGGCTGTAAATGGGTCTATAAGGTCAAAACCCTTTCTGATGGTTCTTTGGAACGGTACAAAGCTCGTTTGGTTGCCCAGGGCTTTTCTCAAGAGTATGGGATTGGTTACGATGAGACTTTTGCCCCCGTTGCCAAGATGACTACCATTCACACTCTTATCTCTGTTGCTACTGCCCATCACTGGCCTTTATTTCAACTAGATGTCAAAAATGCTTTTCTGAATGGGCATTTTGTTGAAGAAGTGTATATGCGCCCTCCCCCGGGTCTCTCTCACCCTCCTGGTGTTATTTGTCGTCTTCGCCGTGCTCTATATGGTCTCAAACAGTCTCCTCGTGCTTGGTATGAGTGATTTCACTCTGTTTCACTTCAGCTTGGTTTTCGCCCTAGTCATCATGATTGTGCTCTCTTTGTTCGGCACACTTCTGTTGCCCTTGTTCTCCTCTTATATGTGGATGATATGATCATGAGTGGCTCTAATTATAGTACTAATACTATTGAGGAGGTTAAGCATCAATTGTTTCAAAAGTTCGAGATGAAGGATTTAGGATCTCTTTAGTATTTTCTTGGTATTGAGGTTGCTACTTCTCCTACTGGATGTCTTCTCTCTCAGACTAAGTATGCCCGTGATATTCTTTCTCGTGCCCATCTCACTGATGACAAAATTGTCAACACTCCTCTTGAGTTGCATGCTAAGTTTTCTGCTTCTGATGGCGCTCCTCTTGAGGATCCCACTTTGTACTGAGAGTAGGTTGGGTGCCTTGTTTATCTCACCGTTACTCGTCCGGACATCTCCTATGCTGTGCACATTCTCAGTCAGTTTGTTTCTGCTCCTCGTTCCACACACTGGGCTGCCTTACTCCGTACTTTGCACTACCTTCGTGGCACTTTGTTGCAATGTTTACTATTGTCTGCCTCTTCGGACTTGACTCTTCGTGCCTATGCTGACACTGATTAGGCAGGTGACATCTCTGATCACAAATCCACTTCTGGTCTTTATATTTTCCTTGGCGATTCTCTCATATCTTGGAAGAGTAAGAAATAGTTTGTTGTTGCCCCGTTCCACCGCTAAGGCTGAGTATCATGCCATGGCTCACGCTACTACCGAGATCATTTGGCTTCGGTGGCTTCTTTCTGATATGGGTGTCTCTTTCTGATCCGACTCCGCTGTATTCTGATAATCAGAGTGCTGCCCAAATTGTCCATAATTCAGTCTTCCATGACGGACTAAGCATGTTGAAATAGATTGTCACTTTGTCAAACAGCATCTTCAGGCTGGTACTATTACTCTCCTTTTTGTTCCCTCCTCTCTTCAGTTGGCCGATTTTTTTACGAAGACTCACACTCTTGCTCGTTTTCGTTTTCTTCTTGGCAAACTTTCGATATTTTCTGCGCTCGCATCCTCAGTTTGAGAGGGGGTGTGAATTATGTAGTTTATATTATTCATTAAGGATAGTTTAATCCTTTAGGTTGTTAGGTTTGATTAGGGTTTGACTCCATTAGATTATATATTTGTACTTGTTTGATTGATTATTCAATAATAATACACACAAGTTTGTTATCATGATCAACCAAAGCTTTGATAACTTGACATCTAGAAAGTGCAGAGTGCCATCAAATGTTTCTACAAGGACTACTATTCAATACATTTACAAAAAGTATGCCACGGGGAAAAAATAGTTTTGAAAAAAAACATCCAATAATGATGTTCACGACATAGAAGGTAATATTGTGTAAATTGACTTAACAGAATTAGTCCATCTAAAAGAGGAATTTACCAAATGAAAATTTGTTAGAACAAATAACATTGCAAGTTACAAGGAACTTAGGCCCTGTTTGGCAAGAGGCTTTTTGGCTTTTTTTTGGTTAAAATCTACAAAAAAGACAAAATCGGCTTAAATAGCCAATAAGACAAAACGTCACATCAAACTCATAATCATTTCAATTTTTTCTCTCACAAACATCACATCAAACTACAAAAAAATCCAACATCTTCTCAAACACAAAAATTTTAACCTACTAAAATAGCCAAAAACTAAAATAGTCTACTAAAATAGCCAACTTCCCAAACGAGGCATTAAGGAATGATGTAGTCAACTTCTTTTTTAACTTAAACAACAAAAAACTCCAATTTAAAGCAGAAGCAACACATTACCCCAATTCCTCTTCCTCTTTCACGCCCTCTGTAGCCGTGATGACTATAAAAAGGAGCCCCATTCAGCTAAAGGAGAAAAAGAGAAATGACATGTAAGAGTCATCACCAGCATCAATTAAATAATGTCTCAATAAACTCTAAAAAAGATATCTTATTCTAAGCGTGCAATGACTGATCTGGAATGGAGACATGTCATAAAATAATGAAATTACCAGAAACCTGTCATAAATATGCAAGCATGCATAAACACATGGAACACACAAACCAAACCAAACTAAAGTCTTATATCGCAATCAATTTAGGTAGGCTACATGAACCATTTTTCAACATTTCGCTTTGTCAAGGGCTATATGCCGAGTTATATTGAATTCATTAATCCCATGTCAATTAAGAACTTCAACTTTCCCCTAGCATTTCCAGTTATAGTGATCATATCACTCTTCTTTACCATTGCATCTACCAGTTGTCGTTGTAAATGACCAAACAATATTAGTCCCCTCTCTCTCAACTTATCTTCAATTAGAGTACTGTCTATGCCATTTTAACAAATGCACTCATTTCTAATTATATCTATGTCATAGTCTTACCACACCACATCCATCTCAACATCCTTGGCTACATTCATTTTGTTATTGCATTCTTTCTAGCCCAACATATGTCTTGTAAAGCATCAGTGATTTTATAGTAGTTCCATAAAATTTTCACTTCCCCACTATTTCTACTTTTATTGTTACTAAAACTATATTTCATTTATTCAGTTTTAGTCCTACTTATCTATAAGCCCTTTTGGTTCAGGTGCTTCTCTCCAAATTTATAATTTAGTGTTAATTACACTTTTAGTTCCATCCATTACAACACCCCAAAAAAAAAAAAAAAAATGCCGAACTATTGATTGATTATAAAGGCGATAACAAGTTGTAGCAGTTTTTTGACAAGCCAAAACATACAGAGAACATGCAGTCACATAGCTTCACACCCTCATGCATCATACACAATAAGAATTACAATAGATTAATTTAACCAGTGTGAAAGATTTTGTACTTCATCTTGATCTTTAGTTAGTCAGATTATTTAGAAAGAAAAACGAGGTCATAACCCCAAATATTAAGGAATATAATTGAAAATTCTTCCACCGGGAATCAATACAGTTAGGGGAGAGTGAGAGTAAGAGAGAGAGAGACCTAAACAAAAATAATGAATATGCTTGTAGTGTAGGATCACCTTTTCGACGCCACGTGAAGGTTGCGGTAGTGGCAATATTGGTGGTTGAGCGTCTGCCATAACTGGCGCTGATGGTTCTGATGGTGATGATGATTGCGATGATGATACTTGAACAACCTCCACATCCTTGTGAGCTATTTGTGAAGACTGAGATGAAGAAACTGCAGTTGATCCAGACTGCATCAACTGACCTGGGGTTACAGGAGAAGTTGTAGGTGCTTCTGTCTGACTTGAACTGGATGTCCCAACAATACTGGATATGGGATAAGACATGCTTTGATATGGCAAAGTTGGACCAGAAATTGCAGTAGGCTTGTTAGAGATTGGTGGTACAACAGCATTTGTATCTGGACTCGATGTAATCAAAGGAGAAAGTGTGGGCAAGTCAGTATTTAGCATTGCTGCAGGCAGGATAGGATTAGGAGCCTTGTTTAGGATTAAACCAGGTAGTGTTTCAGGAGCTAGTGCAATAGATGGTGCTGGAGGCAGGGTTGACGGCAAAGTTGAAGGTGGCAAAGACACAGATGCCAAATTAAGGGAACTGGTAGTAGTAGCAGGAACCAGAGGAGAAGGATATTCCAACAAGTTTGAACCCGGTAAATTAGATGCTCCAGTTGGCAGAGAGGCATTGAATCCAGGATACTGCATTGGCTGCTGCATGGAAGGAGACATTGATAGCCCAGGTGGTGGTCGAAGCAAGGATTGCTGGTGCAAGTGGGGGAGCCCATTGGGGGGCCCATAAAATCCTTGCCAATACATTGGCATAGGTAATCCACTGCCATTAGCACTTGGAGGAGGGGGAGAAGGCCCCCATGACCCTAAATTCCCTCCAGGTTGATACAACGGCAAGCCACCTTGGAAACTTGACGCTGGATGTCCCAACTGTGCAGTATGGGAACTAAGATCTGTCAGAGGCCCAGTAACAGCAGAAGGCAAGTTTGAAGATGTAGCAGGAGGCCTAGGGTAGTGAGACTGCAAAAGAAATAGAGAGAAATTCAGAGCTAAATTTACTATTCAAGACATCACCCTTTTCTAATAAGGAATTTAACACATCACGTATACAACTGTCTTCCTTCTGATCACCTGAATAATAGCGGGATCACTGTTTATGGGTGGTGAAGTCTGAACAGGCGGAGAAGATTTAACCTGTAAATCCTGTAAAGATACAAAAAAAAACATTTCAAGGTATGGCTAATACCACCAACAGAGAGGGGGAAAAAAACATATGTGGAAAGAAAAAACCACATACTGAAGTCCAAGTCTACAAAGTTTTAATTCACAACACATTCATGCATTACAGTTGACACAGCAATTGAAAACAGTCGTAAAAAAAAATTAAAAAAACCCAAACTAATCTTTTGACAAACCGTCAAAAAAGTTACGACTTATTATAATTCATTAAAAATTACAAACATGCCTTAAGAGCATCTTTGAACCAAAAAACAATGAAGGAGAAGAAGAAAGAAAGCTCTACATTGCAGGTATTATCTACAAAAAAAAAATGGACTTGTGGTTCAGGATACAGAGCTTGTATTAAATTGTGATATTATGAATACCCTCATTGTAAATAAAACTAAAAAATAGCCATTAACTTAAAATAGATAGTTATGAAACCAAATCAATTTGTATTCAACAAAATCCACCCAAGCCCCAAGTCCTTCGTTTATTACGGAAATCAATGAGAAACTGCACTGGTTATTTAATTCATTAAGATATATATATATATATATACATGCCTTACTCCAAATGCAACGTTCAAATGATAAGAGCCATTATGTGCACTTGGAGCATGAAGAAACTTGGGCAAACATCATGTATGATTACAGAAAGTACTGCTACATGACATGGAATAAGGACAGCTGAAAAAAATGAAGAAAAAATTTTAATTGGAAGGATATCATGAGATGCTGGGTGCTGCCACATGTATGGCCAGTATTGCTTCGATAATTGGGCTTCAAAACTAAGATTAGGGAGGTGGTCAGAGAATAACCATAGGAATCATGCATATTCACACCAGGATCATACACAGTTGATAGTTATTATATAGTTGACATGATGGTTAAAGTTTCCAAGGTTAGTAAAGTGGGATATTTCATTCTATACATACAATACTAGAAATTGTATCAGAGGACACGATAGGATTATTCATGTATATTCTATTAGCATATTTGTGTGGTCCTTTCACCTATTCATTAATTGAGAACAAATTTATTATCATTAAATGAGATGGATAAGGTTTTCCACCGTAACAAAACAAGGTGCAACAAGAAGGCCTTCTCAATAAAGGAAAATACGGAAAGTATAACACTGAATCACAAGATAATCTAGTAAGGCATAAGATTCCATCAAACTACCTTGATATCACTTCCACGGAACAGAATGTACTCGTAAACTTTGTCACTAGGGGGAACTTGTGGACCATCTTTTTTCCGTCCTTCCGTCCCAAATGATCTCACTGCCATGAGATACATCAAGATCAACACCAATAATTGATATGACAACCATAGTATCGTAACAGGATTTAATGACCATATATAGAATAAATAAATTGTAAACAGAATTAGAGCAATCAACAAAGAGAATTCGTTTAACTACATAAAGTAACTAATTAAAAGTTGTTGCAATGTGACTGGAAAATCTTCTTGTTTCATAAAACCCATTCCGAAAGTGCAATCTCATACTTCAAAATTTCTGCAGTTTTATGCTGCACTGTAATCTCACTTAATAAAAGTTAATATTAATCTGCAAATATGATTGTCTGGGATATTTTCTGGCTCCTAGGTTCTCTCAGCTAATAAACCCAAACTCCGCTTGCGCTGAAATGGGAATGTCCAAATGTGAACACAACAGAAGGCAAGTCACACTGAATATAGTATCAACCTCTATTTTGTCTTTAATAACGAACAGCACGACTTACAACACAAAAAGGAAACGAAAACAACATCAATTACATAAATTGCTTCAAAACATAACGCAATTGGATGGTACGGTAGAAATCAAAGACACGAAAGAAAGAATTAAAAGCCACCAAACATCAAATTCAGTTCAAAGCTCGAGCCTATTCATCTTTCTATTATATAAGCACACAACTCACTCATTGTGAACGTCACGCATTTTCTCATGCCCAAATTGCCCCTATATAACTATCCAAAAGTTTCTGATTTAAAAGAAAAAAATTGATTTTTTTTTCTCCTCCATCTACTTTCAAATTTTTTTTGTCAGATGACGGTTGCAACTGTCTTCTATTTTTGCACACGCATTGCGTGTTTGCTCAGCTTCTAGTTAAGTCATATATGTATACAGTTACACAAACGCACACAGGTTTAGATATATACCGCACAAAAAAAAACACACACACACATATATATGACGTGTTTCCAACATATAACTAAACATTCATCTCATCCTCATGCCCAATACATAAATTACTATATACAAATTCATGAGAAAAACAGTAAAAATTCAATCTTTCTCAATCTATATCACCACAAGACCTAATTCAACAAAACAGAGAACTAATTTTTCAAAAAAAAAAAAAAGCATAAAACTGCAGTACCGTTTCGTAATCCGATACTGGACTCTTCAGTGTTGATGTTGTACAAAACGCCCTCATATCTCATTTCGCTCTTGGATGTCAAGCTAATCAAGCTGCCGATGTAGGAATCGGCAGATGAACTAGATCTAGAACTCTCTGCCGCCATAGTTGTAGCAGCAGCAACGAAGATCGATTGACAAATCTAACTCTGCAACTATAAAAAGTGTGTAGAGAGAGAGAGTATGAGAGGGGATTTGGATTTGCTGACCCCTTTTGAAGAAGTAACGAGAAAGAGAGAGTATTGGGCTGTAGGGTTTTCAGTTTCCTCTCTCGCTATAAAGCGTTTGGGATTGTAATTATCCAAGTTCTGTTTGGGCAAAAAGGGCAAACGAATCTTCTTTAGCTCCAACTTTTAAACTTGCTTTTTTGCTTCCCTTTACTACAACAATTTTTAATTTTAAAAAATATATATATTTCTTAAATTTGTTTAGATTAAATGAATTTTTTAATTGTTTTTTATATAATAAAAAGGGGCCAAAATAGTATATTCTCAAAGGTAAGGTAGTGTAATTACCCTTTTCTGAGAAAAAAATTGAAAATTTTGTAAATTGGTTTCATTCAAACTAATCGCACAATTTTATTGGTTTTTCTTAATGTACGATTTGACCCTCGTTTTTAAAATTGGTTAAATATATTCCACCGTTCAATCTAAAATTTTATAATTATTAAAACATATGTCTATGTAATCGTATAATTTTTTTATTTTTTTGTCATTTGACCTTTCTTTGTATCCTTTTATTTTGTGCTTTTTAACAATCAAACAATTGGATCCCTTGTAATGATACCTATTTAATTTTTATTTTTTTTCTTGTTTTGCCACTTTTTTTTATTATAATATCTTATAAAAAAATTCATCAATTGTTGTGGGTACTTCAGCCAATGAAATAAAAGAGTGTTGTTCACTTATGTAATCACCTCACAAACTTTTGAAAATAATTTTTCAACTGACTTTATTTTTTGATATAGTATTTTCAACATACGATTTATTGGCTTTATTTAGTTTCAATTTCAGTATTAATTTTTTAAATTTTAAAAAATATATTAATTAGTTTGATAAATATAAGCATCAAAATAATATTTTAAAATTTTCAAAAATTAGGTTTATTCTCGAAAATGTAAAACTATGTGAAAATAACGAGTGCATTTTATTAATTATTTTCTCACCACATTACTTTTTTTAAATTCTAAAAACAAACCAATAGTGTCTGCAAAATAAGTTCAAAACAACTTATATTTGATGAATAAATCTTTAATAAAGAATTGGTAAATTACTCAATGAGATACTTCATATCACAATGTTAACTAAATAGTGGGTTGCAACATGTTTTTGATTAATAGATCTTATTACATGTGGATGAGAAAAAACAATTTTTTCACTTAATCGGTCAAATTGTTTCAATAATTCTCATTTTAAATTATTCAATAACCAATTAAATTAATCACTCAACCTTATTTAATAATTAATACTATGTAACAATACTTGTACACTCCACAATATTGCTACTTTAGTAAACAAAAACAGTTGAAAATTGCAACGAGGAAAGTGCTAAGAATTTGATGAGATTTGTCATCTATCCTACACTAGGAGGTTTTATGTGGATGACAATAAAAAGTTCTATATGGTGTTACGTAAATGTCCATAAATCTTGCACAAAATAACTGGTCAATGACTACTTTTATTGCCCATTAATTTGCTTCCTATCTCTTTCATGGATTTTTTTTTCTTTTTGTCTTCAAAAGATTTGGCCATATATTTATTGTGGTTTGACTCTAAAATATTGTAGCAAATGATATTAACCATAATTTTGTTGAGGTAGGGAGTGGTGTACAATAGTCTTTGGTGGTGCACGTTGTGGGTTATAGAGATTAGAGGCGATCGGTCGTTGACCTTTGAAAAGATGGTAAGCACTTCAATGACTTAAGATCACCGGAGGTGAAGGAGTAGAAGACCAAGGCAAGTTTAGAGAGGGAAGAGATGGCAGTGAGAGACCTTGAACACTTAATATATGTTATGTGATTCTTGTTGCTCTTACTGTGTGTTTGTGGCTGCGCTTATGATGTCGTTATATAAACTCCAGGAGTATTGGAGCCTAAGCAACCTCAAGACAGGTGGCAAGTTCTCCTCAACTCGATAGGAGGGTGATATCAGCCCTACTAGCTGCGTCCTATGATTCAGGTCCTCGGGGAGGTTGCATCATAGGAACTGCAGAGGTACGCGTGATATCTTGAGAGGCGTATCATATGTGCATCAGATGTAAGTGTAAGGTCAACGTCTCTTTCTCTGAGCCAGGTCAAAGGGGGAGCTATCACTGCAGGGAGATAGCTACACGACCTTGACGATCCCGAGGTCTTAACCTCCAATCCACAATTCTCCAATGATCCCAAGCGAGAGTGCCTAGGTCCTACTCCTGACCTAGGCAGCTAAGAGGGTGAATGCATGGGTAAGCCAAAGACTCACCTCAATAGCTAAGTAAACATAGATAAGGCGAGCGTAGGTAAGCCAAGAGTCTAGCTGTGTTGCCATGGAGTTGGGTGAGTGGGTAGAGAATACATTTCTTGAGTTATGAAGGGCCATGAAGAACTCTAAGTGAGCCAGCTCCATGTGGCCTTGTTTCATTCTTGGTGATGTGCATGCCCCCGTTTAGGCTAGGCATAAAATCTCAACTCATCGTGGTGCCTCAGGGGTCTGCCACGTGGATGCATGATGGTGATGACATACTCATCATGGTGCCTTAGGGATCTGCCATATGGATGGGTAGTGGTACTGATGTGACACCCGTTGGGCTCGCCACGTGCCAAGTATAGTATAGATACCCACATTAATGCCCCCCTTGTACAGATATTCTCATGAGAGTGTCTGTATATATATGACAAAGATGTCGAAATATAACTCATGCAGTTAAAAAAAAAAAGTTTGATTTTTTTTTGAATTAAAGGGAGAGATACATTTTAATTTCATCTGGCATGAACTGGCCGGACGAAAATATGGGCTTGTTGGGCAATAGCCTCATTCCACGGGATCTCTATTACATCACATGAGATTTCAGCTTCATTCCATAGGCACCAAATTCCGCCCGTTACTCTTTCCATGCCACTGGGAGGTGGGTTCATGGTCTTGGTATTGGAGTAACACATGATTTTACTCATAAACTAGGCTTCACTTTCTTTATTTTTTGTGTTCGTAATGATGGCAAGATCGAAATGTCCAAAAGAGTGTAGGTGCATGTAGTGCTGGAGGAAGTTAGGGCGACCGACGCCCTCAGTGTTGAAAAAGAGAATGTTGAGCAGAGTGTTATGGGGAATGTTTGGCTGAACTGTGCGGGAAGCATTCTCTTCTCCAATGTTGAGATCTGCAAAGTTCTCTATGTCAAGTCCCAGATCTTCATTTAGGTTTTCCGATGGTGCTGACATGATAGAGATATGGTGATCAAGATCTCTCTCTGTCAGTCTTCGAGAGAGGATGTTGATTTGGATCCTCTCAAAATGTGGGATTAATACCTGATTTGCCTGACAGATGGATCCCTGGAGAGTGAGGTTGCCTGCTTGGTTTAACAAAAACCAAGTATGGGACGGTGGTATTGTGTAGAGCTCTGGAATAGTTAGTGCCTTGTACCATCCTCTTATTTTACCCCGGAAATCTTCCGGCACCTCTACAACTGTAGAAGCAGATATTGGGTGGTGGATCCAAGGAGATTCAAATAGCAAATCTTAGAATTGTCATGGAGGCATAGAGAGCATCTTTCGAAAGAACTCACACACTGGGCGGTGGTGGTGAGTGGTTGTGGAGCTTGAAGCTCTAGAGTTGGAGCTTAAAGCTCTATGTTTTGAACTTCTCTGGTTTGGAGCCTTGTTAACTGGTCGCCAAACGGTGTTATCACGGTGTCCCTCTCCTCTGGAAGCCATTTAGAGAGAATGGATTGTTGAAGTTGAGAGGAGAATGTTAGCAATTGGTTATGAATTTGCTTGTGTTTCTCTGTTGTTGTCCCATATTTGATCTTTTATAAAGATGAGGTTGCATTGGGAAAGAGGAGGTGAATTTACTAACTTTTGCAGCTTTACATTGGGAATGGGCGATCCATGAAGAAGACAACTCATCAATTGAAGTTATAGGTTTAGAGCAGACCTACTGATTTGGGGTTGCTATAGTAGCTTGTGATAGCTTGTGCAGCTATTAGTAAAGAGACTTTTTGGAGACTTTAAGGTTTTTGCAGTCTGTAACAAAGAGTTTGATTGGTTTAAGGATTCATCCTTGGGAAGGTGCAACCTGAGTATGTGTGTATATATACACATTATTATTTAATTAATTTATTTATATATATATATATATATATTTTAGCGCCTCTTTCTACTTGAACATTGCCTTATTGCGTCCAAAATTTTATATTCGTATGAATTAAAAGAAGTTTGTGCACATTCTAGTATAGTTTCAATCTGTTCGAAATTGTTCGAATCGGGAGCTTGCGTTTTTACAGAAATATGTATTCCGTGTATTTTGAATTTGACCAGAGTTGTGCAAATTCTGGTTACTTCGTCCACTTTCTCCTTTTATCCATTGTGCAGACCTTCTTCTTCTTCATTTTTTATTTTTTTATTTTTTTTTGAAACTGGATCAGAGAGGGACTCTGTATTATCCGGTTGCTGCCCACGTTATCTTTCTTTACCCAAGGTGTGCAAGGATGTTTTATTGACATGGTTATCTGTAACTAGGTTTCCTATACCATTAGAAAAACTGTTCGGGAAGTTTTGTGTCTAGGTATACCTTTCGTTCTCTCTCTAAACAAAATCTAGAATCCCACTTAGAGCGAAAGACTAGAAAATCCAGAGTTCAACTGGGAGAGAAAGGTTGCAGCCGCGAAAGAGGGGAAAAAGTTTGCCGCCGACAAGCTCCGAGGTGAGATCCAACAACGTTTGTGTGGTGTGAAGGCGCCACGGATGATAAAACGGACTGTGAGGGGCGAGATTTTTGTATTTTGATCGAACTCTGAAGGCACGAAGAGAGAAGAGAAGCGAACTATTAGAGAGGAAGGAAGAGAGGTACCTGCGAAGCGCAGAGGTCGCCGTTGGCGATTCATAGGGGTGGTTCTGGGTTTGCTGCTGGGGTTGGTCTCCTGTATTGGTATCGAGATTTGAATCCATCTCCGGCAAAAGGAATCGAGATAGGGGAAAATGGGGTAAATGGGGTAAGATATGAAAAGTATAAGCATAGTCCCACCTACCTTGCTTCTTTCCTTGCATATTGGTTGAGTCGGCATATCTTCGATGGAGCACCCAAGGATGGAATAGACCCGTCTGTGTCT